AATCCAGAAGATTAGGATTTGAGAGAGCTCAAAGAGTGGATGCACCTGCGCCATTGCAAACGATTTTGAGCCATGTCGTTCAAGGTCTCTAACCATTGATGACTTTCGTCTCGCGGACCCCAACCAGGTAGTCTACATCTACCAACATCACTCAGTCCACTTGTCAGGGACTTCATGGATTTCTGCCATGTTTTGGTCTGGCCGCCCCTAGCTTTCTTCCAACCTACTCCTACACCACAAAACATAGCTCGTCGAGGCAGTCGGTGGTTAGGCATACGTATCACATGTCCCAACCACCTCAACTGATGAAGTTTCACCACTTCATAGATTGATCTGCCATCCTTACCTAGTACTCGTTTCCTAACGACAGCATTGCTTACTCGGCTGTCCCACGATATACGAGCAATGCTTCTTAAACATCTATGATCGAATACTAGTAACCTACGAACATCTTCTACTCTTAACGGCCATGTTTCACAGCCATATAAGAGAACGGAACGAACTGCTGCGCAGTACACCCGCCCTTTGGTTAGCGAACGGATATCACGCCTACGCCATAAGTGACGCAGGTTGGCAAAAGCCAATCGAGCTTTCTGTATCCGAGCTGAGATTTCGTCAGTCACCAGACCGTCAGCACTGATGAGACTCCCCAGATAAGTGAAGTGATCTACACGCTCGACTACTTCACTCCCTATCACTAGTTCAGGTGCCGAAGCAACCCAGTCTTGAAGCAACATTTTGCATTTCGAGGGGGAAAACCGCATCCCGAACATGCTCGCATTGTTGCTTATGGTAGTCAGAAGACTCTGCATTTTGTCAGCGTCTTCACCGAATAAAACTATGTCATGGGCATATTCTAGGTCAGTAAGCGACTTTCCTGGTAGAAGGTCAACCCCTGAAAAATCTGACGAGCTTAATGTTAACTCTAAGAGGATGTCTACGACAAAGTTGAACAAGAATGGAGAGAGTGGGCAGCCCTGACGGACACCACTTGATGTAGAGAATTCAGATGACAGTTCGCCATATGCTCTCACTCGACCAGTGGTGTTCGAGTAGAGTGCTTGTATAAGGTTAATGTACTTCTTTGGTACACCTTTAAATGACAGACACTGCCACAGAACCTCACGATCCACTGAGTCGAATGCCGCCTTAAGGTCCAGGAACACGACTATTGTCGGACGTCTAAATGTGTGTCTGTGTTCCAGGACCTGTCGTAATGTGAAGATGTGGTCTATACAGCCACGTCGAAAACCAGCCTGGTTTTCTCGAGTTTGCTCTTCACGAGCTCTAGTTAGACGTCTAAGTATAATCGAGGCTAACAATTTAGAAACTATATTAGTTAAACTTATTCCCCTGTGATTGTCACAAGAGGACTTCTGTCCTTTCTTGTAGATTGGGACAATTAGCGACTGAGACCAGTCAGATGGGATTACGTCCATTTCCCAGATTCTACCTAGGATCTCGGTCAGTTTAACCGTTAAAACTGGACCACCATCCTTAAACATCTCAGGGGTAAGCCTATCGGGACCTGCCGCTCTACCTCTCCTTAGATTTCCAATAGCTTTGTCAACTTCATGTAAACTGGGAGGACTTAAATCGATTTGCCATTCAGGATGACTGGAGATCGTGGGCAACCGAAGAGTGGCTGAAGGCCAGTTGAACTGATCCCTAAAGTGTTCTGCCCATCGGTCCAGCCTCCTAGATTGAGAATGGATAATAAGACCATCCTTTTCCGAGATAGTCTCACTTACATTCGGGTTCCTAATACCGGTTTCTTTGATAAGGCGGAAAAGTTGTCTACTGTTGCCTATCGCCGCTGCCTTTTCCATCGCTTTTGCTTTCGCCACCCACCACTGTTCACGGTCGTTACGTAGGCTTTTTATAAGTCTGCGCCTAAGTTGACTTCGTTCTTCATCATGTTCAGAGTCAGGTGGGATGCGTTTTCGTGCATCCATCAGTTCGGTGGATGCGACTGAAATCCACGGCTTCATCCTAGCCTTATGGTTTACCTTGCTAGCAGATATCACTGCTGTTTCTACAGCCTTCTTTATATCATTCCAACCTGCTTCTGGATGGGAATCACTTGCATGGCCGCCTAACTGTTTTTCTAGTTCCTCCTGAAATATTTTCTTAGCTTGATTATCATCAAGTAAAGCCCTAAGAGGCTTCCTTACGGTGTCTTTCCTACGTCCAGCAAGCCTCAAACAAATACGTGCTCGCACTAGGGCATGATCTGAATCTAAACATGTGCCCCAGAACGAGCGACAGTCCTTTATCGAACCCCTCCATCGGTGGCTGATGGCGATATGATCTAGTTGTGTCCAACGTTTGGACGACTTCGGGGGTCGCCAGGTCAACAGATGTTTTCCCTTATGCTTAAAGTTAGTGTTTGCTAGAAATAGTTGGTTATCCGAGCACAGTTGCAACAGACGGTCGCCATTGTCTGTTCTTTGAGCCGCGAGACCGTAACATCCACCTAGGTGTCTTTCATTTTGACTTAGTCTACCTACTTGTGCATTGAAGTCACCAGCCATTATTACTATATCAGAGCGCTTAACTTTTTGGAGAAGGTCCGAAAGCTTTCTGTAAAACTCATCTTTTACATCATCTGAACTGCAGTCAGTAGGGGCGTAGGCTGATATGACGAAGAGGCAACGACGAGTGTCCCTATCTTTCCGAGTCCTTACTGTCCCGTTCAGTCGGACGGCGCACAAGCGACTATCTACAGGGATCCAGTCAAGGAGAGATTGTTCTGCCCTACGACTCAATGCTATACCTATACCGGCGAGGCCCCTAGAAGCAGCATCAGGGCTACCGGATACACGAAGGGTAAATCGAGCTGCTTCTTTATCTTGACATGGTGAGGTCAAATGAGTGATGCTACTCGGATCCTGTATGCGCGTTTCCGAGACGCAGCACACATCGATGGAACGAGATTCTAAAGTCCTAGCTAATGACGCCTGTTGCCCTATTTGACACAATGTCCGTACATTGAATGCTCCAACATGTAGTTTGGAACGGGGTTTAAGGAGACCAGGAACGACGTTTCGCAAACTCGCATCGTTTGCATTAGCTGTGCACTGTAATAAATGAATGTGAGAAGAGTTAGTTGTGGAGATAAGAGAGGTATTAGGGAATGTAGGAAGGATTTGATTTTGAACAATTTTGTCTCGTGTGCTGTTGCGGGTATGAGGGCGGTTATCACTTCCCGGCTGCCCACACCGTGGACTTCTACATCCATGGCTTGTTCCTTAAGTGTGATTTGGTTGGTACTTGCTGTGTTTTATATCAGTATCTTTCTGGAAAAAGCCCCTAGGGTGGCGATATCGAGACTAGTTTATCAACTATGTCATTGAAGATATTCTGTTAAGGTTGCTTAGACGAAACGTTTCAATCAACTTCACACATTGAAATACTGAATTCAGTATATTTGGTTGACAAGTCTTAAAGCTAATGGGTTTTCAGTGACACTTGTTTATTTTTCTCCCTTCTATTCTAGGATTTTATGTATTCTCAGCTCTCTTTCGTCTTGTACCAGCTGTTTCCGATATTCATGAGTCATTAACATTACCTTCTCCTGGATCTCGAAATGTCAATGAAAATAAATTATTTCTCGGTCACCACGTGGATCCCGAAACCAATTTTAATTATGATATTCCACCAGGATATAAAGATGGTGTACTTATCGATGTTAATAATATGTCTCCAAGACTCGTGTCCGAAACTCAAAAACATGAACGTGGATCCAATGAAGTTAAAATAAGACATTCTAGTCCTTACATTGGTGTTTGTGTAACAACTTTCTCTCTGGCGTTTTGTTGCTTCATGGTCCATGGTGCTATTACGAGGCAACCAACCCACTTACTCCCGTTTTTCTTCATTCAAGTCTTCGATCTTATCATCTCTTTGATTCACATACTTGGATTCATGTCTTCAACATCAGATATACGCCTAATAATTCACACAAAAGTATGTTTATTTGTACGATAACGTTTATTTTTAATACTTTAAAAATGTCTCCAGTCACTTAACTAATTGTTGCAAGGTAAGTTAATGTTAGTGTTGGCCGTCACAGGTTTAAAAATCACTTTTTGTTGTGTGTTGCATGTTAGTTGAATAAACCACATTGGAGTTCTGTATTTAGTAAAACATTCAAGTACTTATTTCTACTGCAGGAATTATTAGTCATAAGTTTTGAGTGATGTTCCAAGGTCTTTTGTTTGAATACATGAATTCGTATCCCAGTCGTAACATTTCTGTAAACCTCTAGTAGAACTCAACCCAATACCTTCATTAAATTAAAATAGCTTCAATGCTTTTCATATATATCGCGTCAATGCACCGTAAAATAATAGTCTAAATTGAGAGGAACATGAATAAAGAAATCGTTTACGTGCCAACCTGTATCGTCGTTTCATATCAGATAAGTTCTGGACTTTTTGGTGCTTTACGAATACATAATCTTTTAGAATTACATGTAGTAACACAAATGTTCCGTTTCTTTACCATTGTGATCGTTATTTTACTGTTCCTGGGTTGTGAGGAGCAGCTGATGAGGAACCATAAATTATTGAACTTATTCCTTTATACTATGTTTGTTGTCTTGGAAGTAATATGCGATATATTTTTATTTATAGACAGGGCCTTTTCACATCAAATCTACGGGTTTGGCTTTTATCATATTGTCCATCTCATGTATGATGTTGGCTTTCAAAGCTTATTGTCTTGGTATGGTTTGGGATTGTTATAAATACTTAATGCTAAATCGAAGAGGTAACCTACTTGATGATTGGTATTCCGATCAATGGGGTCATCTGTCAACTTTCTGGAGTTTACTAAGGGCTGGACGTAATCGAAGCAACAACTCAAATGGCAACTCTGGCTCGGCCGATGATCCTAATGCAAGACCTTTTCCTGATCCGATTACATACGATCCAGCTAATGATCTACCAAAATATGAGGTAAGCAATAACTAGTATTATCATTCGTGTTACGATATTTACTCATATCCAGCGCTGTAATAACTTATTGAGTTGAATCCCAAGAATATTAGTCATCTCACCAACTGACACACAATGCACCTACCGTTAGACATAAGCTGTTCAAATAATAAATAAGAGTTTTCTAAGGCTTGGAAAGTCATGAGTAGCCGATCTTTCATGGTTTGATTTAAAATGTACACCCATTCTAGTTATAAACAAACTATAACCAACAAATATACATCAATTTATGTTACCATACCACATCAACACAGCAAAATAAACGGCCGGGTGATTTACAAAGGAGTCGAATTGGTGCTCGTTCCTGTTATGATGAACATGCAGCAAGGTTATCAACCTGATCGTAATCAAGTAGTTAGGACTTCTTAACGTTGTTTAGAATACTAATCAGTGATTTCACAGCTTGTTGACAAATCTCATGCAGATAGCTTAAATGGTCCCCACTTTAGAACTTCCGCTTGCAAAACTTGACTAACTTCGTTCCTACATTTATTTTCTTTTTCTAGTAATTATTCAGAGTATAGAATTTTAAGTTATTAGGCAGGATAATAGTTGTATTGATAGTAAAGCTAAATCATGATTTATTCTGTACCCAATAGTGTCTAAGTTACGAGCTTCACAACAAACCAAACTACAGCTTTACCACTTTATTGTAAGTATTTTAAACAAGTGACGCCGTACGGAGTAAAATAAAAATATCCATAACCATACTAATTTGTTACCAACCTTATGTTAAAAACAAGCACTGGTATAGGTGTGTCAATTTAAACCGATCTACATATGTAACCGCATGACTGAATGATTAAAAGAAGCATTCGATATATTCAAATGGATTTTATTTAAATTTATTTTTATGTTTCCAATTTTTAGGATATATTGAAAATTCCGGCAAATGCTTACGCTCCTCCACCTTATTACGGTACTAATATAAACAGGAGTGGCAATGTAGCTGCAGCTGGTGATGCTACTACCAATACAACTAGTAATACTGCTGCTACTACCACCACCACTACTACTACTACTACTCCTACTTTGGCTTCTGCTACTACAACTACTAATGTGATGTCGGCACTTACAACAACTAACGATGATGATGTCCGAATTAATAATTTACCACCATATACTCGTGCTTCTTGCTAATCTGATTCATTTGTTAATTATATACTCACTGATTCTAAACATGGAAAAAAATATCCATAAGTACACGAAATCATGATCAATAACTATTGATTTATTAGAAAAACTTGATATGTGTTTGTGCTTATACACCTATTTTAATTTCAATTTTATACATTACCCGTTCCTTGTTTATTTCGTTCATTTTCTTTTATTCTTTAAAGATCATGAACACTATAAAAATTATTTCTTCATTACATCTTCTAATTAACTTAATTTGGCTCATAAGTATATAAGTAATATAAATATCATAGCCTGATTAGTGCCTTTGGCTATATGAGTATTTTTACGAGTGTAAAAATATCAAAGAACCTGTTTGCTAATTGCTCTGATTAGATTTAATTGTATTTAGAGGGAAAATTCGAACCCCAGGTAGGTAGCATACTGAAGTGTTTTTCCTATATTTCCAGAATTTCCATGTGAAATTGACTTAACCAGTTAAAGGAAGATCATGTAAGGAAGCTATTTCTTAACTGTTAAATGATTTATTATTATTATTATTTTTATATCCGTTTTATTTGTATGAGTAATGAGGATTGAAATCAAATCTGAGTTACATCAAATTCAAACTAGCAATTTCACCTTAATCAATGGGTTTTTTTTCAAGTTTTCACTTTTGATGGTTTAACTTTTCGTAGCTAGTTTTCAAGTTTTAATTATTTCAACAGCTTGTATGTATATTTAAGAGCAATGAAATTTTCATAGTTTATAAGTTCATGTTGTAAAATTCCTAAGTGTACGTAAAATCCTTCACTTCATGTCTGGCTACTCTCATTTTTTATGTTTGACACCATAGACATACTTTTAGTGATAATGTTTTTTCCCTAACCTCTTGTGACTAGTCTCCCATCAAGAGATTCATTTTTTTTATTTAGAATATGCATATGACGGTTCTGTTTTCTGAAGTCTTCTTTCTACACGATGAAGTGTATTCTGATCGCCTTGAACAACATTCCAAGCATGACTGGTTGTGTTTCACTCCATTTAAATGCAGAATGTTACTTCAGGATCGTTTTGCATCATTGCCTAGAATGATAATAGGGAGTGAAGTATCTGAATGCATCAACCATTCTACTTGTCTTAGAAGTCTCATCAATCCTTATGGCTTGGTTGTTATATTCAAACACTAACCAATACGCAACGAGAAAGCTGATTTTCTACGCTTGACGGTTGATTTAATACTAACTAGCCCCGAACGAAGAGGAATAACACAAGACTAATGGCCACCAGTCCAAAACCGTTATTATATTTCAGACGTCTATCTGTATACATATAAAACCAGACCACACAGCAGACCAATGAAGTAACATTCTTAACGAACAACAGCAACATTAATGATGAAGAAAGTGGAGCACTAAGTACACAAATAATTCGTTTTAATCTATGAGTGGAAAATGCTATAATATAAATTTACGGTTCAAATAAGATCTTGTGACTCGGGTAATACGAAAATATGAAAATCAAAATACTTTATAAATATACAACCACCATTATAAAAAATAGCTTCGTAAGTCCTCTACGTCATAGTGTAATTATGTCCCACAACACTGTTATCCGACGAAATCTCGTAATGGACTCGTAAATCTCTCTTAGTCTGTGATAACCTGCATAACCTATTGCATGGGCAAAATGTCTAGCTGCCTTATTAAAAACGATTAAAGTTCTTAATAGTGTATTGTGTTCTACTTTATGACTGAAACCTAACCTTTAAAAATAGACGGTATTTATAAGATAATAGTATTCGTCTTTGAAGCATTTCTCCCATATTTTCGGATCATCGAGTATGAAATGCAAAGGTTAGACGCAAATTACTAAGTTAAACTAACAAGTTCCTTGACGAAATAATAAATCGTCGACAACTGGGTTGGTTAAGGCATGCATCACGTATGTCCGAACAGCTACTACCCATGTGGGCGATCTTAGCTGACTTAAGAATAGTTTCTAAAAACTGTAACAAATATTAATTCATAAAGCTTACTGTAGGTCTGAGCCGTATTTTCGAGTGAAGACTGTGGTTGTGATTCACAAGATAATCGTCACCAACGGTTGGAGACATTGATATGCCTCAAAGTTAGTGACGATCGAGCAAGCTAATGTACTCATTGCCTTTTCTTACACCTAAAGCTTCCAAATTATTTTTCAAGTAAATCGATATTTTCTCGGATTAGTTCCTCCTTGTTTAATCCTTTCTACTACCATTCATATTGTTACTTCTGCTGTTTCATTTTTGTTGATGATCTCATATCGCTGTGTTACACCATAATGAACTAAAAATTCGTGTTAGGATTTAATTTTTAAACCAGAAGACAATAATTAGGAACGACTTATTTCTTGTTTATGATCTTAATGTAGTATATACAATTTACAAATGCTAGGGATATTGAAACGAGCGAAGACGGTAAGACTAGATGGAATCAGTTATTCATTCGAGGAAGACACAGTTTACTAGCAAGATATGTAAACTTTATCTTCAAACTTCCATTTTAGGAACAGGCGTGTGATTGGCTATCATCCACATGTCTGGTAGTCTTAAAAACACTGATCATGCCATAAACCTGAGTCTGGCACTTCGCTTCAGTAGTGACCTCAGGGCGACACTCCACTGTGTAGTATACACAACAATAGGGACTAGAGATATTTGCTGTGACAGCGCTGTTTCAGCTTGTGAAGAATTTTACTGGTTCAATATTTCGAAAATTCGGCTATTTGAGCTCTGAAAGTTGATCGGCCTCATTGATATTATTATGTGAAACGTGTTCTGGTTTTAGAGGGTTATGTTGTATGGTCCTATAAATTTATACTGTAGATTGATATGATGGTAATCCGTTTGGTGAGGTCGCAGACTACCTACTGTAGTGACTGTGATGTGCTTACGAAGTTTAGGTACTAACTATTCTTTAGCGCAACAATAATCGAAAGAAGTCTAGAGAGACTGACAGAAGATATGGAACCAGTCTGTAAAACTGATAGTCGATCTCTGGTTTCTCTATCGAGTAATATAAATTCTGTAAACTCATTCCTCATACCTGGTCTAATATAGCAATAACGGTTTTAAAATTAGACCATTCACGTCGCTACTATCGAAACTCAACTAAGTTACAAGTTTTTACTATCATGTTAATGTTGAACTAAGACAGCTAGCTCGGTATGATATACTTAAATACCTTAAAAATGTTAGGAAATATCTACTGATCTCGGTGAGGTATACAGTTACAGAAACTACACTTTGAACCAAGACCTAACAGTTTCCTCTCCCAGCGCCGATTCCAAAACGCAAAGCTTCCAAGTTTGACAAAAAACCCGTAAGAATTCAGATTATATTCAAGTTCAATTCAGTAATTATTAGTTAAATAAATTACCAACTAAACATTTGTCACTTGAATGTAAAATCATAAAATTAAGTAATGCAGTATTGTATTGAAAATCGAAAAAGCTTAGTTCGTACTGAATTCGAGAATCGATCACAGAACCTCCGGTGTCATGCACGAACGCCTTAAATCTGGATCACTAGGCCGGTATCCAACGGTATTAATGTCTAACTTCAGTCAGTTCACGACGATGTTCGATGGTCGTCCATTATCTCCAATCGGTAGCTGTCTCGCATCCTACACGGTTGAACTCCATTGACCACGGCTTCTCACTAGAACTCTGAGGATTCCTTCACGAAGCTAGATACTATTGGCACGTGGAAATTGTTATAGGGTTTCAGAGATTATTGAGCTTCATTGAAATCATGAGTCGTTTCTCTCTTTCATGGCATTGAACAGTTCATGGTTTCAATGAAACTGTATAATATCTACAACCGTAAGATATTGATCACTTTTTCTATCTCAGTAAGTGACTCTGAACGTTATAGACTGGGAGAGAGGAATGAAAACGGTGAGAGATTCGCAAACCCGTGTGCCAATCGTTGCTCAGTCAGTCAGTTGCAACGTAGAACTTCGTACGTAAGTACATCAGTTCATGTCGCCATACCACATCAGCACAGAGATATAATTGTCAATTCAAATCCAATAGTAGAAGAGATAGTAAAGATATCAGAAGTAATCGGAGAGGTTAGGATGAGAAGATATTATTCAACAAGTATGATTCAGTGAGAAAAATTTAGAAAGTCAAAACTAGAGGTGTTGACGAACCCAGAAGATTAGGATTTGAGAGAACACAAAGAATAAATGCACTGGCGCCATTGAGAACGATTTTGAGCCATGTCATTCAAGGTCTCTGACCATCGATTATTATCATCTCGCGGACCCCAACCAGGTACTCGACAATTACCGACATGGCTAAGTCCACTCGTCAATGACTTCATGGATCTCTGCCATATTTTGGTCTGGCCGCCCCTAAATTTCTTCCAACCTATTCTTACACTACAAAACAAAGCTCGACGAGGCAGTCGGTGGTTAGGCATACGCAACACATGTCCAAACCACCTCAACTGGTGAAGTTTCACCACTTCATCGATTGATCTGCCATTCTTACCTAGTACCCGTTTCCTAATAACAGCGTTGCTCGCTCGGGTGTCCCACGATATACGAACAATGCTTCGAAGACACCTATGATCGAAAACCAGTAACCTACGAATATCTTCTACTCTCACTGGCCATGTTTCACAGCCATAAAGTAAGACGGAGCGAACCACTGCGCAGTACACTCGTTCTTTAGTCAGCAAATGGATATCTCACCTACGCCATAAGTGACGCAGGTTGGCAAAAGCCAATCGAGCCTTCTGTATCCTTCTGTATCTGAGATTTCGTCAGTCACCAGGCCATCGGCACTGATGAGACTCCTAAGATAAGTGAAGCGGTCTACACGTTCGACTACTTCACACCCTATCACTAGTTCAGGTGCCGATGCAAGCCAATCTTGAAGCAACATTTTGCATTTCGAGGGTGAGAACCGCATCCCGAACATGCTTGCATTGTTGCTAAGGGTAGTCAGAAGATTCTACATTTTGTCAGTGTCTT